CAGGTCTCAGAACCTTATCTTACAAGGTTCAGACTTCCAAGCAGAGGTACTGGAGACTTTTGAGTGCTTAGAAATGAAGAGATTGTCTTCATTTACTAACATGTGCCTGTTTGTTATAGCATAATTATCAACAACAGCTCAAATGTCATCTTCTCTCTGATGACTTCTCCAATTCCCCAGTTGTTCAATTTCTCTTTCATGGTCTCATACAATTTTGTTCCAAATTTTATTGTAACAATACTGGTTTCCCTTGCTATCCAAAAAATAGGACGTTCCTACTTGGTATGATTTGGTAGGTTAATATTGGGTCTCGGAATGCTCAAAAAAATTTCCACATAAATTAACAGTAATAGCATTTCCAGATCCCAAATATAATCTGCTAAATAATACAAAATAGGAACAATCTACTTTCAGATAGCAGAAGAAACCAGTATGTTTCTTCTCTTTATATGTCTATGTTAAAAGATCATCCAGGACAGAAATCATATCTTAATCAAATTTATATCCTTGGCACACACAGCAGAAACTCAGTTAAGAAGTTAGGGAAGAAAGGAAAGGAGGGGAAGAGAGAAGAGAACTAAACAAGTTACAAACAGATACACAAACTACATAAATTACAAACAGATGCTAACAATACAATGCAATCTAAAGAGTGACTGCAATGACCTTCCAGATTCTAGAGAAGTGCTGAGAAGAAAAGCATTGCCCAAAAGCAAAGGTTAGGGGCCTCCCGGTGGCGCAGCGGTTGAGCGCTGGGTTGCGAAGCTGCCCGCGGCCTCTATGGCACCAGTTCGATCCCCAGCTGCTCCCCGGCCACTGGAGGAGGGTCCCACATGGCGCGCAGACCTCTCCTGCCACCCGCTACTCCCCTCAGCAGTGTACCTTGGTCCTTCTGCCTGCTCTGCTCCCTGCTCTGGCTCTGGTGAATTCTCTCACCCTCCCGCACTCCTGACTGTACCCAATGCATGTACAAACAAACAAACAAATAAATAAATAAAACATGCCTTTATAAAAATAAATAAATAAATAAATAAATAAAAGCAAAGGTTAGGGTAAGTGGTGATTTCCTTGGTATTTTGTAGACTTACATAGATACCAAATTTTGGAAATTCAGTATTTCCAAATTTCATTGCCATCTTTCCCTCTTAAGGAAATAAGGTACCTCCTGTTCTCTGAATGTTTTTTGACATTTGTCTGGTTTAGTATCAAGGTGATATGTTTGAAAATATTCCCTTTTCAATCTTTTGCAAAGCACTGAGAAGGACAGGTACTAGTTCCTCTTAAAAGGTCTGGTAGAACTCACTATTAAAACCATCTGGTCCTGGGCTTTTGTTTTGGAGGAGACTTTTTTGACTACTGTTTCAATCTTCTTACTTATAACTGGTCAGTTCAGGTTTTCTATTTCTTGTTGATTTAGTCACACATGTAGTCTGTTTCTAAGAATTCATCCATTTCAGTTGTATATTTCTAGGAATTTGTCTATCTCATCTTAGTTATTCACCTTACTGGCACATACATGTTCCTAGTAATCTCTTGTGAGCTTCCAAATTTCTGAGATGTGTGTTGTAACTTCTTTTTTGTTTCTAATTGAGTTCTCACTCAAAGCTAGAGCTTTGTCTATTTTATTTATTTTTTTCAAGAACCAGCTTCTCATTTCATTAATATTTTGGACTCTTTTTTAATTTCTAATTCATTTATTTTTGCCCTAATTTTTATTATTCCCTTCCTTTTCTGGCTTTTGGCTTTGTTCATTATTCTTTTTTCTGGCTCCTTACAGTGAGAGACAACATTATTTATTTGAGTTCTTTCTTGTTTCATGATATGGGCCTCTACTGCTATATACTTCCCTGTCCTGCTTTTGCTGTCACATAGGTTCTGTTAGGTTCTGTTCTCAGTTTCATTTGTATTAAGGTATTTTTAATTTTCTTCTCTGATTTCCTCATTAACCCAATACTCATTCAATAGTGTGTTGTTCAGTCTCTACATATTAGGATTTTTCCCTGCTTTCTTTTTGTGGTTGATTTCTCACTTGATACCACTGTCTTCACAGAAGATGCTTGATAGAATTTCATTAGTCATGAATTCATTGATACCTCTTTTATAACCAATATTTGGCCTATTTTGGAGACTATCCCACATGCTCTTGAGAAGAATATGTTTTCAGCTTTTTTGTGGTGGAGTGCCCTATAAATGTCTATTATGTCCATGTGCTCTCATTCTTTGATTAAGGCAATTGTTGCCTGGTTTGTTTTCTGTCTGGTTGATCTATCCATTGACGAAAGCCGGGTGCTAAAGTCCCCAACCACTTTCATGTCATTGCCAATGTCTGTTTTCAGAGTTCATAATTGTCATATATTTTGATGTTCCTTCATTTGGTAGGTATATATTGATGAGTGTTATGCCTTCCTGATATATTGTTCTCTTAATCATTATGTATTATTCCCATAATAGTTATATATAGTGTCCAACCATGTTTCTTGTTTATTTTTAAGTTGGAAACCTATTTAATCTGATCTAAGTATGACTGTCCCTGTTCTTTTTAGGGTATGATTTGCTTCTAGATTGTTTTCCAACACTTTACTTTGAGCCTATTTTTCTCTGGTGCTCAGATGCATTTCCTGGAAACAACAGAAAGTTAGGCTTGTTTGTTTGTTTGTGCCTTTTGGTTGGTGAATTCAATCCATTTACATTTAGGATAATTACTCACAAATGAAGAGTCTGTTGTTGCTATTTAGTCCCCAGTTTCTGATTCTACTTTCTTGTTCAATTTTTTGTGGCTGTCCTTGTCTTCAATTTTGATATGAAAGCACCTCTCAACATTTCTTGTAGGGGTCTAGTGTTTGCACACTCCTTTAGCTTCTGTTTATCTATGAAGGTCTTTATTTCTCCCTCATATATGAAAGAGAGTCTTGCAGGATATTCTTGGCTGGCAGTTTTTATCTTTAGATATTTTTATCACATCATTTCATTCTCTACTTACCCACAGAGTTTCTTCAGAGAAGTCAGATGTCAGATTGATCTGAGTTACTTTATAGGTTATCTGTTTCTGGCCCCTAGCCAACTTCCATACTTTTTCTTAATCTTGAACTCTTGGAAATTTTACCACTTTGTGTCATGGTTTAGGTCTCATTACATTTAGGTAACCTGATGTTTGGGCTTTCTGTTTGTTTTCTTTTTTTTTCCAACTTAGTTCCTTCTATGGGTTTGGGAAGATTTCTTCTATTATTTCTTTGAATTAGTTCTCTGTTCCCTTCTCTCTCTCTTCTCCTTCCTGGAATACCTGTTACTCTTACATTACCTTTCCTCATGGAGTCTGATAAAGCTTGAAGTGTTTCTCTATTTTCTTCTTCAGATTTCTCTTTTCTGTCCACCTGAATTTTTGTGTATTACCAACTTCAAAGTCACTGATTTGATCTTCCCTTTGGTCTAGTCTACCTCCACATCTTTTCTTCAGAATTTTTTATCTCCTCTATTGATCATTTTTACATCAGTTTATTGATCATTTTTACATCAGTTTACATTTTATTGACCATTTTATATCAGTTTCTAACTTCTGTTCATTAACTTTATTTCTCAGGGCATTCATTTGTTTTTCTGAGTTTTCTAGTATATTTTTGATCAGGTTTTCTGTGTTTTCCATTTCCTTGAATTCTTTATCATGGCAATATTGAACTCTGTATCTTATAGAAAAAAAGATCTTCCATGTCTTTCTGGTTTAATTCTGAAGATTTATTCTCTCTGTGTGGGCAGACTATTCCCTTGAAGACTTAAGTTGTCATATGCTGTAATTTTTCATGTGCCCATTTTGAATTTTTCCAGTTTGCCATTTTTTCCAAAATATCTTAAGGATATAAAACTTCCCCTTTTCCAGCAAATGTTGCTGTGGGGAGTATTGCTGAAGTTGTTTTTAGCTATTCCTGGCTTGCATTTTTAGTACCTTTTATTTTGGAGGTAAGTGATTTAGGCTTCTGATTCACAGAGTGGGAGGAGAGCCTGGATGGGCCCAGTCACTGGTGAAAGTGGTGTGCGGAGGATGGTTTTTATTTGTGGCACAGCTGATAGCCCTCCTTTCTAGGATTCCAGACCTGCATCTTTTTAGTCTGTAGGCTGTAATTTTTCATCTGCCCATTTTGAAGCTTTCCAGTTTGCCATTCTTTCAAAAATATCTTAAGGATATAGAACTTCCCTGTCAGCTGTATTGTCAGCTCAGGATCATCACCAATTGAGAAGGGATCTGGGAGGGCAAGACCCATCCAAAGCCCTGTCCTTTTCACTGAGTATTCAGCCCACCTGGCACACCCCAGTTCCTCCACACTATCTCCCCTCAGTTAAGGATGTACCTCCATAGTAATCAGCTTTCCCCTCTCCAGGGCTGCAAGCCAAACATGGGAGGACAGCTCCAATATTTGTATGGCAGGCACCGGCCCTAGCCATTCTCCAGGCACCTCTCTTAGTCTCTTTTTGTTGAACAGAGTTGAATTTACTCAGAGTCAACTTCTGGCACAGTCATCACTGATGTCCAATGTCCAAGAGGTGCCCTAGTTTTGCCCTAAGTCACCAGACCCTCTAGGCCACATGCCTCTCTGGACCACATTCAATTAATGTCCCAAGAGTAAAGCAGGGAATCTCCTCTGATGCCATCATCTGTCTCCTCTCATCCCATAATATTTCTTTATGCTATTAAAGACTGCTAGAGATCTCACATTTTAAGTTGAAAAATATAATAAGTTTGAAAAAATGCAATACTAAATGTATATATATGCTTCTCAAAATCACGTAATTTATGCAATGAGAGTCACCCAATTCTAACTGTAATGAATGTATTAGTAACAGTGTCCACACTGTCATATAGCTACAAATAAGACATGGCCTTCAGAAGTCAAAGGTTAGGAATTATTTTCACATTGAATAAGTTAATCAAGTATTACATTAATGTAATCTTTAATAGGATAAGCTTTAAAATGATATGCTTAAGGAATTGAATTATTGTTTTTAAATACCTGTACTATAAATTGTAACTCTCTTCTTTCTGCTTCCCATTGTTCTGCTTGTAATCTAAACTCCTCCAATGCTGTCTCCCTGATATGGGATTCCATCTCATTCTTCTCCTGTTGATGATTTTCCACCATCTCCTTCATATGAATAAAATCTTGATTTACTGTCAGATTAATAAAAGTTATCCTTCTTCCTTCATCCCCAGTTTAAATGTACAAAGGGCTCTCCACACTTATCAACTGCTAAAATTCATTAGATTTTATGTTAAATTCATTAATAGAACTATTATTTTTTATCATAATGAGTTATGGTTACTGATTTAATGTAAGCAGTATTTTTATTACATATATATGGGCATATATTTAACCCAATTTTTCAAAATATTTAACTTCAGAGGTTTGAACAAATGCATTATATAATAGAGACAAAAACAAAGATGATTTAATGGAAAATATATGTAAATCTATATTAAAGTAGATGATATGGAAATCTCTAATTACCTATAAACACACTATCTGAATTGTCCCTGAAAATTTATATATAAATTGACAGAGAATACTGGGGAGAAGGAAGAAGTTTTGTACAACATATCAAAATAAAGAAATTCTAGAATGTTAAAATTTTTTAAAGTAAAAAAAAAAATTAGGCTTAGATGTAACTAATTTTTAGCTCTAGAGACAAATATGTACAATAGGCATTTATTTTTTAATTTTCCTAATCTAATTTGGTTCAGAACCTTGAAAATATAAAATGAAGGTTCCCACAGAAGCCCAATTTTCTAACCAATAGGTTTGAAAACTTAGTCCCCATTGATACAAAGAGAAAGATTCTGTGGTTAAGAGAGGTAGAGCTTCCCACTCATATAATAATACCATGGATCTGCATGATAAAGATAACCCTCAGAACTTTCACTAGTGCAAAGCTATCATGAAGAGCCTTAAGGATTTTTTCCTTTAGGGCAAAATATTGACTTCTATTCAGCCCCAAATTCTCCAAATTTGCAGATCGGTTCAAAGGCAATAATGCAAAATCAGAGTAGAATTCTCCTACCAAACAACTGTTCAAGATCATTTATCTTGAGGTGCTGGTTAACTGTGTAGGAAAAGCTGTTATGATTACCTTCTTTCCCTATAGCTCTAAGACATTTTATGTGGGATAGATTATATAAAGCCACCCAGTGACTTGTAATACAAGTCACCATCTAAACTTCCTGACTCCAACACTAATAGAGCCCTTGTGCACATATGAGGTACTCTCTTAAGGTCTAGGAATACAACAATAAAGAAAAGGGACAAACTATGACTACTGATGTAAAGAAAATCAAAAGGAGACTTGCTGACAATGTCTTGGGACATTCAAACCAAAACTTTTGAACTTAGTAAGTAAGTGTTTTTTTTGGTAAAGTTGTTTTTTAGGAAACACTATTTCCAAAATGCCAAAAAGTTATTTATCACAGTAGCAAATTTAGAGCATTTTCACCTTTTTTGTTTTAATTTATATTTCAGAAAATGGGAAATGTAAATGATTCAAAATCTATCTTCTAACTGACTGGCATATTCAATCTTAAATCATACTTTTGAGAGTAAATAAGAAGAGAAAATACTCCTATTATAAACTAAGTTGTTTATAATAATTTCAGTAAAAAGTCAGCAAATTTTTTTATGTATTATATCTAGACAGAATGTGCTCTATGCCTAGATAATAAACAGAATATCTATATCTATAGCCAATCATTAACATTTTTCTATATTTATTATATTTTAGACCAAATCTAAAGTGCTTAATGCTAAAATTCCAAATTTTCACGCTACTGGACCAAAAGGGTTGTAAGTTCTTCTTTATAATATGTCCATTTAAGTGTTTGATTTTAAAATCATAGACCCTAAACTGTCATGCACAAAAGAAACGGGATGTCTATGAATACACCTCTAAAGCATATTACCAAAGAAATGAATAAAAATGTCCCTAAAAAGAAGAAAGAGAGGAAAATAGGGAAAGAGGGTGGGTGAAAGAAGAAGGAAAGAAAGAAGGAAATCTATTTTCTGCTTTCTAATAGTTATTTTCCTTCCCAAAGATAACTTCAGAGTGTACAGCACATATAAATGAAAATTATATTATAAATAGCAAAATGCTTTTATAAAAATATTTTACCTGTAGAGTTTTCTCTAGCCTGCTTTTTTCTCTCATAAGTAAATCATAGTCTCGCTTGCAATTTTGAATTATATTGTCTCTTTCCTCCAAGTCACATTCAAATCTTCTGCATTCTTCTTTCCACTTTTGCTGAGAAGTCTGGAATGCTTTCTCAATCTCATTTGCCTTTCCTTGAAGTTCTGTATTCTGGGCTATTAAAAATATTTGTAAAAATAGGTATATATACAACCATAAAAATGAAATCACTTGGAGTCCCAAAATGTAGGCAATGGAGCTGATTCCACTTACAGCATGATCTTAGGATAAAACGTTTAATCTCTCCCTTCATGCCAGTAAAATCTTGAAAAACTTACTGTCCCAGAACCAATCTATGATATAATTTCTCAATCTCTTTGTTCCCTCCAGACAAATGTGATTTTTTTTAAGTTTTTTATTTATTTATACAAGAACCGGGGTACAGGTCAGATGCGCGGGAGGGTGAGAGGATTCACCAGAGACAGAGTGGGGAACAGAACAGGCAGACTGACTGAAGCACACTGTTGAGGGGAGCAGCGGGTGAGGCAGGAGAGGTCTACTGCGCCATGTGGGAATCTCCCTGGCCGGCCAAGAATCGAACCTGCACTGCAGAAGCTGCAGACAGCTTCACAGCACAGCGCTTAACACACTGTGCCACCAGGGGAGCCCCAGACAAATGTGATTTTGTCATGAAATGGTATGACATATTCCCAGGCACATATCCAAATATAAGCATACTACTAGCACCAACAGCAACTTTACCACTTTTTTTCCTGTACAAGAAAACAATCAGAGTATGACAAGATAGCAACAGAGTGAAGATGCCAGACTAGCTTCCTCCACATAGTCAAAAAATTACAACAAAACAAAGACAACAACCACTGAAGATAAATAAGTATTATTGCATATATCAGGAGCAATGGTGAGGCAAAAAGGGATAAGAAAAATGGCAATTAAACTGTTTTTAGCGCAATACCACAGCAAAATAGCCCATGAGAGGGAGAGACAGTTGCTATATGGAGGCCCTCTGCTATTGTTAATTCACAGACATAAACCTACATCAGGGACTTTAAAAAATAGGCACTACACTGAAGAAAAGTACGCACAGAGTCAGTGTACAGGACAGATGGTACACACTGGAGAACTGTAAGAGAAACAGTGCAAAGTGATAATTACTGGCTTGAATCTGAGGTTATCAAACTAGAATAATTGGAGCCCAAACTGGAGGGAAGAGCCAGGTATGATTACCTATGTCCTCTCATAGAAGACAGTATTATTTGCAAGCCAGTTGTGATATATGAAAGCACTGCCTTATCAAACCTTTAAAAAAGAACCTATGCCCATTTGCTTTAATTATTTCTAAGGGAATACTACCTGATATGTATTATGATGTCAACATTATAGTAATACCCAAACCAGAAAAAGATAGCACAAAAAAAAATATATATAGGCCAATATCCATGATGAACAGTGGTATGAAAATCTTCAACAAAATGCTAGCATTTGAATTCAACACTACATTACAAAAATTACACATCATGATTAGTGGGATTTATACTAGAGATGCAAGGGTGGTTTCATATACATAAATCAATCAATATAATACATTAAATCAACAAAAGAGAAGATAAAATCATATAATGTCAAAAGATGCAGAGAATGGAGATGATAAGATTCAGCACCCGTTTATGATAAAATCTCTAAACTAGATGGGAATAGAAGGGATATACCTGGACATAATAAAGGTCATATATATATATAAATATATATGTATGTATTAAATACTACAGACTATATAATACTGAATAGTGGAAAGCTGAAAACTTCCCTTTAATATCAGTTACAAGACAAGGGTGCCCACTATCACTACTTCCGTAATTTAATATTAGAGGTTTTAGCTTAAGCAGTCTTATCTTAGAGCCATCTTAGCTTAGAAAACAACAGAAAATAAAAGGAATTCAGGTAGGAAAAAAATGAAACTGTCATTATTCACAGATGATACAATAATACCATATATATAGAAAATCACAAATACCCCACCAAAAAAGCTATTAGAAACAATAAATGAACGCAGCAAAGTGGCAGGTTACAAAATCAACATATAAAACTTTGTTGCATTTTTATATACAGCAAATGATAAGAAAAAGAAGAAAATAATTCCATGCACAATCAAAAAAGAATCAAATACCTAGAAATTAATCTAACCATGCTCAAAATGACTATTCTACCAAAAGCAATATACAAATTTCTTGCAATCCCCATCAAAATACCAACAATATTCTCCAAAGAAATTGAACACAAAACATTAATTTTTTTATGAAAGTCCTCAAAATAGCTAATGCAATCCTGAGGGAAAAGAGAAGAAATGGCAGCATCATATTACCTGACTTTTAAACTATACTAAAAAGCAACAGCATCTAAAAAGTATGATGCTGGAATAAAAACAGACATAAGGATTAATTGAACAGAACTGAAAACCCAGAAATAAATCCATGTATATATCAAAACACAATTTATGACAAAGAAGCCAGAACCATGCAGTGGAAAAAGGAGAGTCTCTTTAACAATGTTTCTGGTGCGTGAATAAAATTTACACACACAAAAAAATGGTCCTGGGAAAACTGGATGGCCATGTGTAAAAGAATAAAATTGTATCACTCTGAAACTCCATGCCCAAAGATAAATTCAAAATGGATTAAAGACTTAGATGTAAAACCTGCAACAATAAAATATCAGAAGAAAACAGTGGCAATACAATTTATGACATCAGTAATAAAAATATTTAATACAAGCCTGTATCAAAGGGGAAATATAAGCAAAAATAAACAATTGGGATTACCTCAAATAAAAGAGCTTTTACATAGTGAAAGAACAAAAGATAAGATTTAATCTTACTGATGGGTAAAAATATTTACACATTATACAATCCACAAAGGATTAAATGTAAGATATAGAAAAAAACTTATTCAATTTAACAATTAAAAAACCCAACTAAGGCTATTCAGAAGGCTTGCAGATACATCTTTACTTTTAATAAGGGAGATACAGGTCAAAAATCACAATTTGAGGGCCTTCCCCGTGGTGCAGCGGTTGAGCACTGGGTTGCAAAGCTGCCCGCAGCCTCTACAGGGCAGTTCGATCCCCAGCCACCGGGCGAGGGTCCCACATGGCGTGCAGACCTCTCCTGCGGCCCGCTGCTCTCCTCAGCAGTGTACTTCAGTCCTTCTGCCTGCTCTGCTCCCCGCTCTGGCTCTCGTGAATTCTCTCACCCTCCCACGCTTCTGACTGTACCCAGTGCTTGTGCAACAGGGTGGTCCCCAGGATTGCAACAGGGTGGTCCCCAGGAAAGGGGGAGGTTCCCTGCCCCACCCAAGGGAGGGTGGAGCTGAGCAGGAAGAGGAGAAGCTGGAGAAGAGACTAAAGAAGGAAGCAGGATGGAGCCAGGAGACCTGGAGGAGGCGCATGGAGCCTAGAGACACGTGAAGAAACTGCGCTTGTCTTTTGGTCGTGGACTGGGTGACACAGATGTGGGTGAGACCCGTGGGGAGGTGACAATGGCAGCTTTTATCTTGATGTTGATTTTGCTCTTTTCCTTCTGGGCTTGTCTGATTGTTTCTGACCCTTTGCTGTGGGTCCCCACTGGAAGGTGCTTTAGACTCATGGCAGGCCTTGGGGCCTTGCTCTGGGCCATTCCCATATGGATGGACTTTTACCCACGAGGGGACGGGTAACTTTTGGGTGCTTCACTTAGAAACTAGACTCTTTGCCTTACCTGTATTGTTTCCTAGTTTTATTAAAGTTCCTTCCCATTAAAGTCTCCTATGTTTTGTGTTGATGCGGCGGATGGCAGAACCCATTTAGAATAGGCAGGTTTGCAGGGTTTGGGCTGACCCTCTCCCTGTCCTATAACACTTGTATAAATAAATAAATAAATCTTTTTTAAAAAATCACAATTTGAAATAACATCTCACACCCATGGGGTGACCCAAATTAAAAAGTCCTCCAAAAACAAGTGCTAGTGAGGATGCAAAAAAAGAGGAATTCTAATACAATGTGATGGGGATGTAAACTGTACAGCCATTTAGGAAAGCAATCTGGATTTGCCACAAAAAACTAAAAATAGAAGTACTATATGAGCCAGCAATTCTGCTTTTGAGCATCTATCTGTAGAACATGAAACCACCAACAAAAAATTATATGCTCTACAATTTATTGAGCATTATTTACAATAGTTAGAACATGGAAAGAATCTAAGTGGCCACTGATAGAAGACTGAATTAAGAATATAGAGTGAGGGGCCTTCCTGGTGCCACAGAGGTTAAAGTCTCAGCGCTATCAAGCTATCACCAGCCCCTGAGGCATGAGTTCTATCCCCAGCCAGGATAAGTGCTCTAAAACGTGATTAACAAAATTTTGAGACCTTTTTCCACACCTGCAGAAAATTTTTAAAACTAATGTAAAGTAGGTACATGTTCACATAATTGCCAGAGACTTTACATATATCCACCAGTCTATGCATCAAAGGTCAGTGAGTCAATACTCTGACACAGTATGAAACGAGAATACAACAGTGAACAAAGATATAAATTGAGTCACAACCCTAAGCACCAGAAGAGATAGAAATAGTCTTACCACAGAGTTTTTCTTGGATTTTATGGGCCTCAGCTAATCTTTCTTCAGCAGCCCGTTTTCCAAGACCAGCTTCTTTTCTAGCAACAGCCAGGTCATACTCCAGACTTTGACGCAATGCCTCTCCTTTTTCAACTTCACATCGTAGCTTCGCAATCTGGCTTTCATAGCTTGTCAGCTAAAAACAGATTTCCAATACCATGAACCAATATTAAGCTGAGTCTCCAAACTAATGAGATCATTTACTCAAACATTTAAATTTCTTAGAGAAGCTTGTTACTATAATATTTATAAGACAAAAATTTATAAATTTATACTTTTTTGAAAGACTGGAAAGAAATCTCTAGTCTTACTCACCACATGACACTCATTAATTTTGTTATTTTAGAGAATTCATTAGAAAACAAAAAGAAAAACAAAAAAATTCTTGCATGAACTTTTTATAAAAATAAAAACACAAGCTTTAATCAGAAAGCCATATCTAAGAAATGAAAAAAAAAAAGCATAACACAGAGTAAGCACTTAAAAATTCATCTTTCCTTTCTTCTATTCTTTAAGTAAAATCAAAAAGCAAAGTGCATCAAAATATAGTTTGGTAAGTATTGTCAATATTATTTCTCCTGATTATAATATTATTGATTGAGCATAAAATAATTAAAGTGCCAATATTTCAGGGATTTTAATGAACTAATAACTAAACCTACTGCATCCAACACCCATCCATGAAGTGGCATGACAGAAGACAAGTCAGAGTGTGAACTAGGTAATTTATAAAGTCCTTTCCCACTCTAAAATTCATGATAATCAATGATTCATTGCTGCACCTCCCCCTGCAGTGACCTTTAGGGCTAACCATCCCTAGGTCCGGCTGGGCGACCAGCGCGCAGGGGGAGAACAGCAAAACCCCCTGAAGACATACCTGCTGCACCTCCCCCTGCAGTGACCTTTAGGAATGGCTTTCGCCACAAGGTCCCTAGGTCAGGCTGGGCGACCAGCTTGCAGGGGGAGAACAGCAAAACACCCTGAAGCAGGGGAAGTACAGCGAAGTTCCCTGAAAAGACAGAAGCTTATCAAAAGATAATGACCACCAGGAACCACTACAAGAATCCTAAATAACCTTATCCCGTCTTTCTAGAACTACAAACTTTAATCCCTTATTGTCTTTCTAAACTTCCTTCTTTCTTCTATAAAGGTCATTGCTTGTTAATTAAAAAATCATATGAAATCCTTAAAACAAGGCTGACTCAAATGAAACATTACTAAACCCTGTAATAATTAAAATATAGTATAGGTAAAAAAGTAGTTAATAAAAAATACGATTATATAGTTTAAAAACAAAACTAATGGTCTATCTACTTAGGAATGAGGCTGAGTCCAGATGTAGATCACCGCCCTGTTGGTGATAGGCTGAGCCCATGAGCAAGCTGATTTCATTGATATTCATTGTTCCTGTGCTTTTGGAAAACATATATATACTGGTCACAAACTCAAAGAAAATTACACTCAGATTTTCACTCTTGAAGTGTGTCTGTTTGTCATTTCTTTCACCGACGCCCTGACCACCCTGCACGCTTCTCTCAACCCTGAGGTGGCCTCATCGTCTACTGCTGTGCTGGTCCGCGGCAATTCATTAAATAATATTAAATACTTGCTATGCATCAAGTAGAGTGAAATAAAATATATAAAAATGAATATTATAGAGCACCTGTTCACAAGGAATTAAATGCTACAGAAAGGCATATGGGGTAAGTTTTATAAAAGAGATAAAAATGCTATGATAGTTCAGAGAGGCATCAAAACAGGAGAGGGAAGAGCACCAGGGACTATGGTGATGGTGCATGGGTGAATGGATGGTGGGAATTTTACAGGGACTACATCTGACAGGAGAAAGCAAACATTTACAAATATGAACAATGATGTAAAATATATTAAAAAAAATAAATTTTAAGAATAAATCTTAGTTCCCAGAGGGTAAATACTTCTGCCAGGTGACAAAAAAAATGATCCATTCTCATACATGCTACAACATGGTGGACCTAGCAAACATATGCCTAGTGAATTAAGCCAGGAACAGAAAGACAAATATTGTATGGTGCTGCCCACATGTGGTAAGTACATAGAATATGCAAATTCACAATACAGAAAGTAGATTAGAGGTTACCAGGACTGTGAATGATTAATGCTTAATGGGCAAATAGTTTCTGTTTGGAAGAAGGGAAAAAAATTAAAATAGATACTGGTGATGGTTGCACAGTACTTTAAATATAACTAAATATAACACTTTGAAATGATTAAATAGCAAATGTTAGTTTACATATTTTACCACAACAAAAATACTTTTAAGAAATCCATTAAATTGGAAACTGAGACTATTTTGGGTGGGGTGGCTGATCCTTATTACCATGGAAATAGAGAGGCAGGAAAGACGATGGAAACACGGAAATCCAGTGCTATAACTTGCAGTATATACATATCCACAGAGATCTAACAGAGGCGGTATCATTAAGGAATCAAACATTAAACAAATTGAAGTGTGGTCACTCCACCAAGGCAAACAAATGCTGGCAGAGGGGAAGGGGAACATGCGACACAAGTGGTAAATACCAACTTGTAGCCTTAGAATAAGAACTGCCACAGCTCTGCAAATTTCTCATAAACGTGTATTAAGGTATATTTCTTTGTATCTCACCTATGAAGAATGTTGGTACTATTTAGCCTTTCTATTAAATGTATGAGATACCAAATAACAAAAACCTATCAAAACCTGAGATAGAAAATTAAATAACTTTTCCAAGAACCCCACAACAATAAAATTTCAGGCAAAGTCATTTTCAACACATTTCGTGCCCATCAGCCAACACAGTGCCTTAGTATTCTGGATATCTAAAAAGGCAAATATATGGTCTTAATTAATTTTTTTTCTTAGTTTTATTCCCCCTGCCTTGCTTTGTAAAATATATCTGAGATTCGAAATTATCTCAGGGAAGAGAGATAATTTTCTCAAAGCAGGCCATTGTAATTGGTTCAGCTCGAAGTTTATATGATAATTCATTCTCATTATTTCATTTATTTGTTTCCATGATTTGACTCATATTAGGTAATGATGTTTTATTTAGCCATATAACTTCAAAATATTTTGATCAAATAAAAGAACAAATAGTGTTCTAAGAGAAATTTGATGACAATTATGAATCTATAGGAGAATATATTTAATAGATGAATGATTAATATCACACTAATATTCTCAAGTAAAATGTACATTTGATTTTTAAAATTACATTTTGGAGGTTTTAAGCAATTAGCCTATATTTAACAAATACCACTTTATATTCAATATGTATCATGATAACATAAGTGGAAGCAGTTACTTCAGTTACTTATAAATTATCTCAAATGCCACTGTAAATATAAATAAAACATATAGACATTTCTTGTTAATTTAACTGGAAACTACTGATCCTTAGATACCCTGAAAAAGACACTTTTCCAAGCATTTATTCAAAAACACAAGTAACTGAGGGCCTACCACATCCCAGTAAGTAATAGGACAGATAGAAAGTGTGGTCACTGCTTTCATCTCTCAGGGATCTTATATGGAGTTAAGCATAAAATAAATGTTTTCATTCTAAAGTATCTATAACAGCAATATGTGGGTGAACAAAGAAAAGAGTAATCAGTTTCAAACAAGGAGACTTGAAAAGATTTCCTAGCGTGAGAATTTAGCAAAAAAGGGAAGGAAAATACACTGTTTATTCTTAACTGTCAATAAATTCTTTTTTTAAATTTATTTATTATGCATACAAGAGCTGGGGTACAGGCCAGAGGCGTGGATGCGGGGTAAAGAGGATTCACCAGAGACAGAGTGGGGAACAGAACAGGCAGACTTAAGGAAATACACTGCTGAGGGGAACAGTGGGCTAGGCTGGAGAGGTCTGCTGCGCCATGTGGGTTGCTCTCTGGCCGGGGCTCAAACTCATGCTGCAGAAGCTGCAGACAGCTTCACAGGCTGCATGCTAACCCTTGTGCCACCAGGGAGGCTCAATAAATTCTGTCAGTTACAGTGCAAAGGTACTATACAAACTGTATTTTAATTATCATAAACCTTTGGGACCAGCATTTCACAATGAGAAACCAGTGATGCACAGGATAAAATAACTTGCCCAGTGTCACATATCTTATAAACAGAAGGGCCAGGAATGACTCTAGGTCTGTGTAACTCAAATTTTTTCACTATACTGGCCTGCCTAAGTTGAGCTTTAACAATGGATAAGATTTAAATAAAGAAAAAGAAAAAAGACAACACACAGAAGAAATATAAGGATATAATTTACGAATTATTTTAGAAAGGAAATAGAACTACTGTCCTTGGAATAAATACATACACACATACATTTATATACATGTACTAATTAAAAACAAATGCTATAGGGGTCTCCCTGGTGGCGCAGAGGTTAAGACTTAACCTATGGAGCTCTCTACAGCCACCGCTGCACAAATTCGATCCCCAGCCAGGGAGCAACCCACATGGTGCAGCAGACCTCTCCTAACTCACCTGCTGCTCAACAGTGTATTTCAGTCAGTCTGCCAGCTCTGTTCCCCACTCTGTCTCTGGTGAATCCTCTCACCCCTCACACCTCTGGTCTGTACCCCAGTTCTTGTATGCATAAATAAATAAATCTTTAAAAACAAATGCTTTAATGATATAACAAAACAAAAAGTATCTGTTAACTAATAAATTATACTGAGTAAAAATTTTATATTCATATCAACTATTTAAGAAAGATTTTTTTCCAGATTGTGATCATAAAGAAACCTACATAATAATTTCAAAAAAGTCCAATTTATAAATCCTTTCATTACCAGGTACATTTGTCAATTAGTATTTAGTCCATTAAAATTAATAATTTGCAGATAATATAAAAGACACATAATTCACTGAATTTCTACTTTAACCCTCCTATATAATTCGACTATACTAAAACAAGGGTTTATAATGATAATTCCCTTTTAAAGCATAAAAACACTATGGTAACAAATGTTAAGATGGTATTTGTAAAATAAAATAAATTTAAAATAATCAAACTCTAATTTTAACATTATTTGAAAGGAAAATAAATTCTACCTCTGCATTGTGCTTAGTTGTTATCTCTAATTTTTCTTTCTTAGCCCGATGGAGTTTCTTTCTGAGATCAGCTGCAATATCCAACTCTGTTTCATTTTTAAGCATTTGTCTTACATCAGCTGAAGCATTTTTCAACCTATAAAATAAGTTCAGAATACATATAAATCTCACTAAGCATACTTCACAGCATTTCTGATACTTCTAGATACTTATTTTTCAAAAACCACAGGGATATGATATGGTCCTTGCCCTAACAAAATTTACAATCTAGTCCACTGCAAAAGGTAGGTAGGAAAACAAAGCAGTATGTAACTAGAAACAAACCATTGTCCACTGAGAAACCACCACATTGTTCAAGAATGATTCTTAAAGATTGATCCTATCACAAACTGGATAGTTTGAGTAAACACTGATTTCTTCCCTTTTTTTCCTTTTTAAATAATAAATTTTACTTAATACAAATGTAATACATATTATTAAAAAGAATAAATAAAACAATATATTCCTAATTAAAAATAGACTCTCTTGCCCAACACCCCCCAAAAAAACATTAAAATAACAGTGAAGAGAATTTAGAGGTATAAACTCATATAATGATAAAGAGTACAAAAGATGAAGCAATAGCAAAAATATGGGAAACTGGAAAGCAGGTGGGCAAATGGTAACTGGTTTACCTAAGGACACTGACTATAAGCCAATATTGCTTTCCGTAGGGAAAGCAATCTAATTTTTACCAGAGCCCCTCAAAAGCTCTGTAATAGGCAAAAATTCTGAAATGGGGGTAAAAGTAGAGCAGAAAACAGGAGAATTGGTTAAAAGTCTAAAATTTTTAGATCCTCTGCTCCATAGACCACACAACTAGTTACCAATCTCCCCCCGACGCTAGCACAACACTAGAGTTTTTTTCCCTAGAGTACATAAAATAGAGACCTCTGTAGACATAAGATACAAAAGTGGGAAGGGTTTCATACTATAAAGAAGGACTTCAAGTAAAAAGTTTTATAAGTGAGAGACCTGGGCATGTAATACTTCTTGTCTGCCAGAAAAATAGCAGACAAGCAGAAACTAGAAGACTGTTCCCTGGAGAAGCTAAGCAGCAAGGAGAAAAAGACTTAAAGTTGCTGATACTAGCTGTTTTCCAGCTAAATGGTTTTTAGCCAGATCACCCTACCGAGAATGCCACACAAAAATCTTTATACATTGAGTTTCTGATTATATTTTTAGGTCCCTACTTTTAAATATGGACAGCCAAATATTGACAGAAGTTTAGATGCATAGAAGATGAAAGACAAAAAAAATCAAAAATAATCAAATGGAGGGTGAGAGGGAAGTTGATCACTGTACCACAAATGAAAACGCTAGAAATAAACTCATATGTATATGTTTAATTAATTTTCAGCAAAGTCAACACAGAAAAAAGTTTTATCCATTTATTCCCTACCTTGCTCCATAAAGGTAACTTCTAAAGATAGATATAAAATATTTATATAGCAAATCCTATTTATAGGGTAAGAACAGTTAGTCATGGTCTTGTTCCATCCCCACATATTCTTGCTATAAACAGGTGAGCTAAATCAATTATTCTAAACTAAAATGAACAAAGAGTACTCCCCATGATGCTTTTGTAAAATATACAGATTACTAAAAAAATTTTGAACAGAAAAAATATAACCCCAATTGTTTTATTATTAGATTTCACAGAAAATTACTGTTACATGATTATAAGAATTACTAACCATTTACTTTCATTTTCCATAACAATTTCTTTCTAAACCATACTTGGCGTTGCACTTTCTGAAATGGCTCAGTTTTACATTATGGACTCCACCCAACAGGCCCAAGGCAGGCATCCCATCCAAAGGCAAAAAAAAAAAGGGTACAAAAAAAGATAATAGCAATTCTTGGAATATAATTTCAAAGTAAAGGAGCAGTTAGTAGCAGAGGGTAAACCTTATAAAATGTTAAAGAGAAGTCACAAATTAGATTTCTAGCAATTAGGATAGAAAAGGAATTAGAGCCACAAAAATTATGGCCAACTAAATATAATGACCACACCCGAATGTGAGTAAGCAGAAATACTTGAAGAAGATTTAGAGAAGTGGAAAAAATAAACAAGTTTGAAGGGACAGGAGCAAATCACCTAGTGTAACTTTGTGGATTGACTTAAAAAAGAAATAAAGAGCCACACAAGGTATCCAAATCCAGTTCTATTGATAATTCCTATGAGACTTTGCTCTTGCTGCTCCAGTCCATGAAATTTCTGCTTTCCTTCACAAACCGTGAGAATTCCTACCACCAGCTCTTTCAACCACTTAGTTCTCCCTGTACCTGACATCCAAAAGCATTCTTGAACTAATTGGAACCAGGAGGCTTACCTTTGGGTATCACCAGTGGAGTTACTTGAAGGGTTTGAACTCATGATAAGTCTTCCACAGCACTTTCAAGATATCCCACTGCTTCCTAACAATATACTTCGTTATTGATGATTAAACTTTTCAAGATGTTTGTGACTTATAGATTAGATGGGCTGAAATCTGTTAAAATAGAAACAAAATACAACAATTGTTATCCATGTGAATTCTATTAACTATAGATGATTTTTCTTTCTTTCAATTTATTTGCTTTTTTTTTGTTTTTTTGTTTTTTTGTTTTTGTGGGACCCTCGCCGGCAGCCGGGGAACAAACCAGCGCTACAGAGGCTGCGCCAACAGGGGAGACCCTCAATTTATTTGTATTTTTAAAATTACTGCATAACAAATACGTGAATGTTTATTTTTAGAAGCTATAATGTACTATTTCTTTTTTGAAAAAAATTAGAAGAAAAAATGACAAAATGTTACAAAGATGTTCCTTCTTATAAGAATGAGGTTACACAATTAGACTTTTCTTTATTGAAGTAACATTTAACATTGGTTATAAATATTATGCAGCTTTTAGGAATATAGCATTATAGATTGACATGTGTATATGCTACATTATGAGCGCCACCAAATCAAATCAATTGATGCTCTTTACTCATCTTCCCTACCCCTCACACCCTTTCTCCTCTGGTTCTCATAATTTTGGTTCTCAAAATCAGAGTTTTTTCTTGTTTTGTTTGTGAATGTTTTTGTTGCATTTCTCAAATGAAAAAAATTATAATAAAAGAGTGACAAATTTTTCTTGAACTGCAAAAGGAATATGTAGAGACTAGGCAATAAAATTGAGTTTGAAAGAAAGTAAAGTCCAAGAAAATCCATGGGTTCCCAAGGCCCTTCTAATAAAATGAGGTATTTTTAATGTAATGTCACAATAAAATATGCCAAACAAAAGACCCCCATAGTGATTTTCAATCCTTCTCCCAAAGGATTAAAGATAAAGAAGAGGAAGTTTTGGTTACTTACTATGGCTTTCTCTCTGGAATCCTCTTCTGTGGGAGATACTCCAAATTATACAGAGCCAACCAATATAGGTAAGTTTCTTCACAATAATATGAAGGAATCTCTGGGTAAACATTTTAAACAGAGAGATAACAACAATTAAGTCCAAATAGACACAAATATTAAAATACAGTAAGTGTCTCTTAGTATTCCTAGAAGTCCAATATCCTAAGACCATGACGTCTAGAGTCAGAGAAATCTGAGTTAGGATACAAATAATCTTACAAGTACATGGCCATGGGCAAATCACTTAAACTCTCTGAGCCTAGGCTGATAACTATATCAACCTTATGTATTTGAGACTCAAATAATACACACAGCACATATATTTGCTCGATCACTGCCAATATCTATAACTGAACACAGAATCCCATGAGAAAATATAATGATCCCTAATAAAGGGAGTAGGTTATATCACTTGGAGTGATATGGTCTAGAAAAAATATATTAAGAATTGTCTAGCAAAACTGTGGATGTACTAGGATATCTAGAAGACAAAAAAAAAAAAAAAAAAGCCCTTAACAGTTCTGTCCCTGCTCTAAATAAATATGCCTCAAAGAGATAACTGAAAGGGAAGAGACTGATATATAGACTCAGCCATGGTGCTGAGAACTGACTAATGGCTCCTACAGGTAGATAGCAAGGGATATTGAATACAGTCAATAATTCAAGTAACTGATGGAGGAATAGCTTGATATAGAATAAAACAATGGAATTTTAAACAAAGATGGGAAGACAGGCATCCTGTTTCTCCAGGGACCTAAAAAACTAAGTTCAGGAATATTAATACACAAATACCACTGTCATCTATTTATTTGGCACCTACTTTAGTGTTAAGCACTGTAATTGATATTTTACATACAGAACTCTGATCATTGAAACACTGTAAGGTGGAAACTATCCCATTTTCCAAGGGGGAAATCTATAATATTACAAGTCACTTGCCTGGTCACAGTTACAGGATCAAGATTCTATAACTATCTAAAGTCCAAGTTCTTTCTACAAAGTGTTAATACAGTTGCACCATATTTTATCCCAAGTTTATCAAGCACACTTCAATTAAGGAAATTCATCTGATGCAGAGTGGCTAAACAACTTCTCTAAGGCCAGTCAGCTACTAAATGAGGAACTACACTAAAGCCTCAATGAAGTTCCTGTGATACCAAGTACCAAAATCTTTTCACCTTACCACTATGCTCCCAAAGGTCAGACTCCAGAAAAACTGTCTTCAAAAATGGAAGTAAAAGAATTAGAACCTAGAAGAAAAGGACTCTTCTATATACTTCAGAATAATGTCCCAGGCTTAAAAGTACATATATACAATGTTTCTGTTTTTGTGAAATACACACTTACATGTATGTGCATATGTGTTACAACTGGCACAAACAGGAACTCACAGGAAAAGAATTTACATAGGCAGGACTTAATAAGATATGTTATTTTTCATTTTATTTTGTATGGGAAGAGAGAGTTTACAAAATTTTAACAAACGTTTCAAGAAAGCTAAGTTGAAGAATCAGTTTTCAGTGCATTCCGTTGGCATCTAACATCCTCAAATCTGAATGGCTTCTAAAGAGAAAGTGTCTCCTACAGCTCAGAAACAAGCTTCATTGATTTCCAGATCATTAGTACAGACAATGTGGTTGACAGATGGTCCCCCACAATCTCTGCCCCCAGTGTTTCTCTCTTGTATATAACACCCTCCTCGTTTCTGGGCTGAACCTGTGACTTGCTTCTAACCAACAAAATATGCCACTACCAAGATTACATTATGTTATATAAGACTGTCTTAGCAGACTGAAATGACTCTCTCCTGCTGACCTTGAAGAAGCAAGCTGTCGTGCTATGATCAGCCCATGGAGAGACTCACAAGGCAGGGAACTGCTGGCAGGCTCCTGGACCTGATGGCAGCCTCAACCACAGGTAGTAGAGAGAGCCAGATCCCTCAGTCAAATAGATGCCAACAGGAAATAAATTCTACCAACAAGCTGAATGTGCAGGGAAACAGATTTTTCCAGTCAAGCCTGTGGATGAGAACACAACCCAGCCAACATCTTGAATGAAGCCTTGGGAAACTCTGCACAGAGGGTCCAACTAAGCTATGCCCAGACTCCTGACCAAAAGGAACTGTGAGGTAATAAATGAGAAACTATTTTAAGCCACTGAATTTGTGATAACTTGTACACAGTAATGAAAACTAATATGGATAAGAAGCTTGAAAATGCTCTTGGTGGAATTTAAAAGGAAATTTAAAAAAGATGTTGAATAACAGGTAAAATACAAAAATGGGTTATCAATGAGCCCTGCTTGTGTGTGTCTCTTATCATCTCTTTGTTTTCTCTATAGTTGAATTCCTTATTAATTTAAATGAAGGCATTTGTAAAAATCCTTTCTAAGGTAACTAGATTGAGAAACTAGAAAATCATGGGCAACACTTAGAACAAAATGAACCACAAGGAGCTCCATGGTGGCGCAAGGGGTTAAGCACCACACTATGAAGCAATCCGCAGCCTCTGCAGCACAAGTTCAATCCCTGGCTGGCCAGGGAGCAATCCTCATGGCGCAGCACACCTCTCCTGTCTCGCCTGCTTCTCCCCTCAGCAGTGTACTTTGGTCAGTCTGCCTGTTCTGTTCCACACTCTGTCTCTCGTGGATTCTTTCACCCCCACCCCCGCATCTCTGGCCTATACCCCAGCTCTTGTATGCATAAATAAATAAATCTTTTTAAAAAATGAACCACAGGGCCTCCCCGGTGGCGCAGCGGTTGAGCACTGGGTTGCGAAGCTGCCCTCAGTCTATGCGGCGCCGGTTCGATCCCCGGCTGCTCCCCGGCCACCAGAGGAGGGTCCCGCATGGCGCGCAGACCTCTCCTGCCGCCCACTGCTCCCCTCAGCAGTGTACTTCGGTCCTTCTGCCTGCTCTGCTCCCCGCTCTGGCTCTGGTGAATTCTCTCACCCTCCCGCGCTTCTGACTGTATCCAGTGCTTTTATATATAAACAAACAAATAAATAAATAAATCTTTAAAAAAAAAATGAACCACAAAATACAAATGAATAAGAACAAACCACTAATACCAATAATGGCCACAAAACCTGCCTGGGATTAAAGGTATCTATAGAGAAGAAAGCAAAAGGAAACAAGAAGTTATATGTGATAAGACCTGCAAAGAACCAATAGATGTTTAGTTGAAAGCACTACCAGACATCTTGAGAGCGGTAGATGAAACTTGGAGAAGTCTGCCCATTCCAAGAGTTGACACTGAAAACAGGCATATGATAAGACAGTCTTAAATGAGCTGGTAAAATCCAGCCTCATGAACTCTCAAAAATGACCTGTCAGGGGCCTCCCTGTTGGCACAAGAGTTAAAACAGAACCTATGAAGCTATCCTCAGCAACTGCAGCACGAGTTCAATCCCCAGCCAGGGAGCTAGCCACATGGTGCAGCAGACCTCTCCGCACTCACCCGCTGCTCCCCTCAGCAGTGTACTTTGGTCAATCTGCCTGTTCTGTTCCCCACTCTATTGCTGGTGAATCCTCTCACCCTCCCCCTACCCCGCGACTCTGGCCTGTACCCCAGCTCTTGCATGCATGCATAAATAAATAAATCTTAAAAAAAAAAAACAACCTGACCTGGCAAGGACCCCTTCCCAGACAAGGATTCATACTAAGAGAAAACGCTTGGGATAAATCAAAATTGAACAGGATAGGAAAAATTAAAACAAAGCAAACAAACCAGACCAGACTGTAGGAGGACAGAGACAAGAAATTTCAGAAAGCAAGTCACCAATGTTTTTAACATTCCAAAAAATAACATAAGACAAAGTTCCATAAAATTAGAAAATCATTCCTGTACCTTGCCCCATTTGCAAAGACCAAGTAAATGAATCTTCCAGAAAAATAAGCAACAAAAAAAGTGGTCAGATACCATACAATGATAATATAAAGAAAAATGGGAATAAAGAACAGAGCAGAATCCTACAAATGAAAGCATGACAGAAAGGTAAATCCACAAGAGATGAAAACTATATGTACTATTTCAAAATGAACTAAAAGACATTAACACAATGGTATAACATGAAAATACATGATCAAAATTTTAAAACTCAGAAATAAGGTGACGGGGATCAGGAAGAAGTAGAAATAAAAAGTCATTTCAGTGATAAATTAGAGGAACACAAGAGTAAACAGACCCACCAAAAGATATATGAAACAAAAAAGAGGAAAACTTTTGAGTAAAAAAAGGGGGGGAGAGGTCAAAAGGATTTGGGAGGAAGTGATAAAATACTGACAAAGAATCACCAACATGCAGCAACAGGAGTGTACTGGAAATATCAATAGGAGATTGATGCAAGGTAACAGAAACAATACTACAATTGTAATTCAACAAAACTTTCCTGAAACGCAAAAAGATTTTAATTTATATGTTGGAGGAGTAAAAACCTTCTGAGAATACTGACACAATGCAACCAATACCAAGACATATTCTAAAATAATTACTGGACTTAAAAGGAAGCTTGCACATCAATGTTTATAGCAGCATTGTTCATGATAGCTAAAGGTAGTAACAAACTAATTGCCCACCCACTGATCAATAAATTACAAAATTATTCAACCATAAAATGCCAAAACATGAATAAACTTTGAAAACATTATGCTAACTGAAAGCAGTCAGACACAAAAGGCCACATATTACATGACTCCATTTATATGAAATGTCTGTAACAGGCCAGTCCCTAAAAACAGAAAGTAGATTGCGGTGGTTGCCAGAAGGCGGAGAGAATTGACTCTAATTGCCTATAGCTACAAGGTTTCTTTTTATAAACAATCAACTTTTATAAAATTCTGTCTAAAGTCTCCTTTAGCTCACTTTCTCTCTCTCTCTCTCTCTCTCTCTCTCTCTCTCTCTCTTGCTCTTTCGTTTTCTCTCTCTCGCTCTCTCTCGCTCTCATCAGCTCCTGATGTCATCAGGGTACAAGGGTTTAACTGTTTTTGCAAGGCTAGTCAGTTAAGGGGAATGAGGTCTGTGGTTGAATTTAAACTAAGATGGGGTTTCCATGCTATTAAACATGGCAAATAAGATGTAGCAAAATCTCCCCTATATTCCAGGAGGGTGAAAAGGCAGAAGGGAATGATGAGGAAAATAAAGTAGCAGGTACAGTAATGAAATTATCAGTGGAATGGCAAGCTAAGTTAAACAACTGCAACGTCCCCATATAAATATATGTACATAGCTTTCTTTGAAACTTCATTAACTCCACATGATAAATAATAATTTGGCTAATCTATATAAGCTATTAGTCTCTTAAATATGCAATCAATGTCAGTCTTTCTCTTCTTCAGTATCTGTATAATGCTTTAATGTTTTCCATTTGAAAATATTCATTACTATCAACTAATGATCTGATACCTCAAAGCCACTCCTTGTGTTCATCATGTGACAAATATCCTTTCTCTAGGCATCAAGCTTAGTACTTTCTATAGTCTCATTTCACTCTATATCAGCCACAAAAGGAAGATACTTTTAATATTCCCACTTTATACCTGAGGAAACGAGTTTAAAGATATTCAGTCACTTGTTCAGGCTGCACCTCTAATAAGTGACACTAAAGATTCAAATCCAATCTGGCTGACTCTGCTGTGTGTCTTGCTATAGCCTTTGAGCATGGTTCACCTACTCAGGGAACATGCGGGTGATGTGAGCTTGTAAGGGAAGCATTTCTGCTCCCTACCACAGATTTCTCAAACACAGATTATTCCCCTCTTCCAAACTAAGTACAAATCAGGGTCTGCTTAGTGAAAAATGACTCATCCTCCAGTGGATTATCAGACTTGCTGGCACAGCCACATACCTGGACCAAAACCAGGCTATCATGTAGCAGTGATGGATAAATCAGTATCATTTAGTAAAATGGCTTAAATCAGTTTTTATGTTAAAGTGTTAATAGATGAATCTTTTCTTTGTAGCAACGTTGCACTATTTTCACCAAACCTACTAAAATAGATGATGCGATGATATATGTAACACTCTTCAGAGGGAAGTTTTTTAGAATAGGTGTTAGGACAATTGAGGCCAGGGGGCCAATGATCAGGACATCCTGAGAGTAAGTGCAAGACAGAAAAATGATTCTACTTTAGATTTCCAAGCACTACTAGGACAGTATTCCTACCTCTCTTCTGAGTTCTCAGTGGGTTACTCAGAATGGATTCATCTCTCAGTGTCTGCACAGACCAGAGGACAGGGAGGGTTGCAGGGGAATGAATGAAAAGGTAAAAATGACTATTATTGAGCACTTACTTCATGCCAAGTACTAGGCTAAGCACACCCCATCTCATTAAATCCTCCCAATAACCCTATGAGATAATTATGTACCTGTCACAGAGAACAGAGGCTTGAAGAGACAGAATAAGTTGTGTAAAAAGATATCCACAAAGAGGCTAAGAATTCAAGCCCACATCTGGCTCACTCTGATAAAACCACGTGCTCTTCAACAGTCTCTACATCTGTTTTGGGGGATGTCTGCACATTTTTTTATTTCACCCTTAAAGGGGATGTTTGGCTCTTTCCTCAAGCCAAAACCAAGACAACAGGGCTGAGACAAAGGATTTTAGAGATAAATGGGACTTTAGAGACCAAATACTACCACTTTGAAAGATAAAGACTATAATGCCTAGAGAGTTTAGGTGATTTGCCTAAATTGATAGCTGATATATGGACTAGGGCTAATCCAGAAAGCTCGACTGAAGTGCCTTCATCTTTCCTTTTAGCAGGTGGCATTGCCTTTGCAGCCCCTTCAGTTCAAGCAAACCATGTTGTTCATCTCTTGCTGTACCATTGTTTAGTTGTTACTAGGCACTAACTGTTCACTAAGATAAGTGACATGTTGGGTTGTCGCTGAGATTATGAGAACTATAAATCTTCGATAGGCCATGTATTCCAAAGAATTGGACACCCACCAACTGAAATTGTTTCTTGAGTAAAACTGCGCAATGTCATTTGAATCTTCTCAGAACGAATAAATATGTAGTGGCCTGCAATAAACATCACGATAGAATAAAAAACACTCAAAAGAAGGCTCCATTTCTGCACAACATTTACAACCTCAGAAAAACTCAGTCAGCTTTCCTAAGTCTCCTAAGAGTCCTGGAGGGTAAAAGCAATAGAAGCTACAGACTAGCACAACTCATTCTTTTATCAAAAAATGAATGTGTAGTGGGTAGCCGGAATTTTTTTTTCCTAAAATCGAAAAAGGAAGTGGTCCTTGTCCTTTCAGTGCTGACAGATTTCATGAAGGAGAAAGTCCCGCAGTCTGAGTTGTAAACTAAAAAGCAGGTCCAGGTTCAGCGGTCCGGGTCCTGCCCCCTGCTCCTACTCAATCAATCTTCAGGGCACTGTCCAGCGGTCTCTGGCTAGGATGCTCCAGGACACTCTTCCTCCAAGCAGGCGGAAAGGCCCAGCCCAAGATCTTGGAGGCGTATCCCCGCAGACGAGAGGCACATCCCCAAACTAAATCAGGATCCTCACAGTCCTGGCTGCAGCGCCCCACACTTTTCCTATCAACACTGCCCAAGTTTAGGATGCCTCGAAGCCCCGCATCCCGTGGTTACCTCAAGGGGCTCCGGTAGTCCACACCGCACACCCAAGACCCCAGGGGTAGCTTCAAATCAGGGTAGTAAAAGGCCCAGGTCGAGCGCGGTAGGCGCGGGGGAGGGGAGGGAACAAAAACTGTTGAAACTTGACGGACTCTAGGACCCAGGGAGGAGACACAAATAGCAAACGGGGACTGGAGGGGGACAACCCCCAGGGAGGTGAAGTTTACAACGGCCACTTCCGGGAGCTGGGAAGACTCGACTTCCCCCGCAGACCTTGGCCGATCGTCGCCGGCCTGACGACTGCGCCGCGCCGCGCCCCGCCCTCCCGCGGCCCCTTTCCTCCCGCCCTACAGCCCGCCGCTGCGGGATACGCACTCGGAGAACGCCGGGCTCCGATTGGAAGAGCCCGGCCCGCGAAGTTGCGCGGCGCCGCTGGAAGCCTAGCGTGCGCATGCGCCGTTGCTGGGGAGCGGCGGGCTCGCGACCGCGCGCAGTTCCGCGTCAGGCGCGCGCGCCCATTGCTGGAAAACGCGTTCCCGGGCGCTCTCAGGGGGGTGTGCTCGGTGCGAGGGCCCCAAGCCATTGTCTCAGAATGCCCGGAGCGCCAACTGAAAATTCAGATTTCTAATCGCGATTATGTGGAATCTAAAAAAGTCAAACTGATTTGCAGGAAATAGGGCTGTGGGGAGATAAGATTGATGTTTAAAGGTATAAACTTGCAGCCTGTTTTTAATGAGCGATCGTCATCGAATATGCAATATAATGAATACAGGCAGTATTTGGACTATAATTACGTAATGTGACAAATACCGCTACAAAGGCAATTAATTTAGCAAGTAAACAAGGACAATGTTATAAGTGAAGTGTATTGGTTTTTAAATGTAGATTTCTGCGCCCTAGCCTTCGCCCTCCCCTCGCATAAAAATATTAAGAGATCAGATCTAGATCCTATGTGTTTTTTTAAAGATCCGTAAGGTTTTGGGGTTTTTTTAAGATTTGTTTATTTATGCATACAAGAACTGGGGTACAGGCCAGAGATGCGGGGGGTGAGAAGATTCACCAGAGATAGTGGGGAACTGAACAGGCAGATTGACTGAAGGACAATGCTGAGGGGAGCAGCGGGCGAGGCTGGAAAGGTCTGCTGCCATGTGGGTTGCTCCCTGGCCTGCCGGGGATCGAACTCTGTGCTGCAGAGGCTGCGGATTGCTTCATAGGGCGGTGCTTAACCCTTTGCTCCACCAAGGAGGCCCTCAGATCCTGTATTTTTAAACTAACTCTCCTGCTGATCCTTACAACCAGTGCAGCCAGTCGAGGTCTGCCCATTGGTACTAGAGCCAGAGGGATATTGTCTTTAAGCCGGACTTCTGCACCAGCGGCTGGTTTCCTGCTGGTTAGATCACCGTCCCCTGCTGGGCGCTCAGATCCCCTCCTTCAATCCCCATAGTATCCCTGCTTAGGTAGTAAACTGGGAGGTTATAATGCTGGTCAGTGCTCGCATGCTGATGCAGAGGCTTTCGTTGCGAATATTACATAAGGAGGTACCTCGCAGAAAAGTCACAAGAGCTTTAGCATGTGCCCCATCTCTCCTACCTACCCCCGCTTTTCCCCCACCCCCTGAACACACACACACCTTCTCCTGGATAATTTATACTTTGGTTTCTCCCGGTAGCTACTGCACAATCTGCTGCTGCCTCAGGGAGGTTGGAAAGCCAAATCCTCTTTTGTTCCTTCGATTTTGAAAGCCTATTCCCCAAAGAACAATGCAAATTGGCGGAATTCTGATTGAGTATATTTTCAACAACACCTCCTCCTCCACCCCCCAAAAAAGGGTATTTAATACAAAATGAACCTTTTATGTTAAAATCCTCTGTTGATGATAATCAACCTGAAACCAGGTGTAGGCAGGGCTTTACCCTGCCTCCCTCGGGAGCGCAACGGTCATAAATGCAAATATAAAGAGACTAAAACCTCCTTTCCTATCCTATTTTCACGGTGAACTCAGTGTAGTATATACACATGTTAAATATCAGTGGTGCCCACCTGAAACTTACATAATGTAATAATGCAATGTTGTTTCAATAAAAATATAAATAAAATAAAAAGCCTTGTTTCTTGTAGCAGTGAGAATTTAATTGGTTTCGGTTTAGTCATTTAGATTAAAAAAAGAAGACCCATCCCACTTGCTAATAATTTAGCCAATAGAGAGTAATTACTTCAAAGGAAAGAGCTTTAAATGGAAAGGAAAAAATAGCCCACCCTAACATTTACAGACGAAATGGAAAACTACAGCAGACTATGGGGATTAGAGCTTTTTTACTTACAAATTTAAAATAGTATTTATATATTTTCTTATTTATTTTTTAACTAAAGCATTAAAATTTAATGGAAAATGGGTACAACATGAAAACTTGCACTCTACGGTTATTAGTTCATTTAGCATTTATTGAGCATAAACTATATTCCCAGCTTGGAGCTAGGCTAGGTGATACATAAAATAATAGCCCTCCTCCCCGGTGGTGCAGCGGTTGAGCGCTGGGTTGTGAAGCTGTCTGCAGCGCTGGTTTGATCCCCGGCTGCTCCCCGGCCACCAGAGGAGGGTCCCACATGGCGCGCAGACCTCTCCTGCCGCCCGCTGCTCCCCTCAGCAGTGTACTTCGGTCCTTCTGCCTGTTCTGCTCCCCGCCCTGGCTCTGGTGAATTCTCTCACCCTCCCGCGCTTCTGACTGTACCTAGTGCTTGTATAAATAAATAAATAAATCTTTAATAATAATAATAATAATAGCCCTGTGGGAAAAAGAATAAATGATTTTGGTTTTGTTTTCAGAAATTCAAGGTTATTTTTCATGGACAAGCTCTCTCCCCCTTAAAAAGACTGTGGTATTAAAGTAATCACAATCCATATGACAATACACAACTCCCTTTCTATCTGGCAACAAATATACTCAAACATGCTATACAAAGCATAATTTTTATTTTATTTTTTCCCAGAAGATAGTTTTTCTTCTGTCCTTTGGGACTTAGCTCCTTTACATGGGCTTTGGGGGCAGTACCCACAGATCTATTTTTTTTATTTTAATACAAGCACTGGGTACAGTCAGAAGCACAGGAGGGTGAGAGAATTCACCAGAGCCAGAGCGGGGAGCCGCTGGGGATCGAACCGGCGCTGCAGAGGCTGCAGGCAGCCTCGCAACACAGCGCTCAACCGCTGCGCCACTGGGGAGTACCCACAGATCTAAATCAGGATCTAAATAAGAATCCTTTCTAAGATTTGAAGAGAACTTCCTGACTTCCTTGCTGTGAATGGCACAACTCACACAGTAATGTTATTTCACATATAGACTTCATCAGGCACTTTGAAATGTGCCTAATGACTGCAGACTCTGCTATGTTTCTAATGACAAACGTCTTGATAGCCTTGGCCTTGGGTACACAACAGATGCAATCTGCACTGAGTAGGCTGCAAATGACCCCATTCCTTTTTATCCGGACTGTTGGTCCTTCTTCTGTTGTTCATCCTGGTAGCAAGGACCTGAGAGAAGGAGAGAAATGTTAATGTCAACACTGAGCATCTTCAATTTTGAGCAAAGTGTTATATCATCACCAAGCTCGGGTACAATAGGAAGACATGGAAGCTACAAACCCCAGCACAAAAAACAGGATAAGGCATTTGGGAAACTGTCTGAAGCTCTGTAGGAATGAAAGGCAGTGGGAGGCAGGAAATGTGACTGGAGAAGTAAATGGAACCCAGAAAACAGAGGGCCTTTTAGGTCATATTTATCAGGCAACAAAGCTAATAAAGGGTGCTAAGCAGAAATGTTATAATAATTACACAAGAAATCAGACCATTTTAAAATACTTAAAGATTTTCTGTTTTTCTGTTAGTTAGAAGTCAATTCTCTGTTGCCTTTTGCTTGCCTATCATGCCACTATTACTTAAGAGAAACTCTATGTAAAGACACTCTCTAACCCACCTCCCTTTTAGCCTCGAGTCTCAATAGTTACCTCATTCTTCACTCTCTACCAATTCTTCTGAGATACTATTCCATCCCTCCACCCCAGTTCATCAAAATAGCATCCAAAGTCAACAATGACCTTATTTCGAAACCCAGACCCCTTGAATTTACTTACACTTTGATCCTCAGATTTCTCTCCTGCATGATTAGATTCGTAGTTTCTCCAATTCTCTGGCCTCTCTGCTCAGGGAACCATGATTCCCTTCTTGCTCTCAAAGTGGTATTTCCCCACTGCTGCCCTTAACCTTCACATTTTACCTTATAAGCTTCCTTGTTGATGGCATCCATTCCTGCAAGTATGGAGGCCCACATTTTTCAATTCTTTGTGTCCACCTGACATAATACTATAAGCTGAGTGCTGGTTTGAATTTTAACTCCCATTTGAATAATGACTTTTTTTAAAGATTTATTTATTTATGCATACAAGAACTGGGGTGTAAGCCAGAGGTGCAGTGGAGTGGGGGGTGAGAGGATACTCCAGAGACAGAGTGGGGAACAGAACAGGCAGAATGACTGAAATACACTGCTCAGGGGAGCAGCGGGTGAGGCAGGAGAGGTCTGCTGTGCCAGGAGGGTTGCTCCCTAGCAGACTAGATATCAAACTTGTGCTGTAGTGGCTGGTAATAGCTTAATAGCACTGTCTTTAACCCCTTTGCCACCAGGGAAGCCCTGAACAATGACTCTTTAATGTCTGGTAAAATTAATTTCACATATCTAAAACTTAATTATCTTTCTCAATTTCGCACTAGCCCCCCAAACTGCTCCTCTATTTATAAAATTTCTAATCTCTTAGACACCCAAATGACAAAATTCAAACATCTTTCTTCTTTTTCAAGTTTATCAACTCTTACATCTAAGAATCATGAGGTCCTACTTACTTTTCCTCTAAGTCTCCTATATTCTCATTGCTTCATATCCAGACACTTTTCATCAGGGCCTTTGCTATGGCCTAACACAAGTCATTGTTTTATCAGATACAGACCTCAAGAGTGCTAACTTTCATGAGAATGGAAAGCCTTCATTTGCAGTGCAAATCAAGTACATACAACCACAATATGAATTTACTGGGGGGAATTCACATATAATATTATGAGCATGCAATTGAATTGGCAGCAAAAGGGGGAAGGTGATGACTCTCTTGGCAAGGATCAGGAAACTGTCAATACAGAACAGGTGAGGTTTGGCTTGAAGAATTCCTTACAGGCATTCACCTGCAGAAAGGGATTTTTCACTTCTTAAGAGTGACATCCTGTGGCAGCTCTTACCAAAACCTGGAGACTTCCGGACCA